GGGGATGGGAGTCCATTTGTAAGTGGCCAACCGGTTAAATTCAAAATGACCCGGTCGTCCACTTGAGGGGGGGGGGGGGGGTGTTAAAGAGTATCCCACATCGGAAAAATGTGAGGAAAATAATGGCTATATAAGCTCTTTAGTTGAACCAAGTAATCGATTGGATTCCGTCTTTTAATGTGGTTTAGCTCAAGTGTCTTATAGTCCAATCCAGTATCTCTATCCAATCTTGAATTCTATCAAAGTGTGTCCACCTTGTGTGGGACATGTGGGTGTGGCCCCACTTTCACAAGGGAGGCACCCCACTACAATGAGGCTCTATATCTTCTTCGGCAATGTAATGCATTACTTATTGTTATTACGATTGAACTCGTAGTACTTGGGATCTCCACACACTATGAAATTCTTCAAGTATGGAGGGGAGGAAGGGATCAAAATAGGGATGGTGATGACAAGTCCCTATCGGCGAGTAGATGATTGTTAGGGGATTTGGGACTAAAGGTGCAGTCTCTCATTTCCACCTTCTTGATTACTCTAGACACCGGCTTTATTGTTGGTTGTGCTCTCCTACTGATCGAGGGCTGTTGTTACATTCTTCAGAACTATGCCCAAACAGTTGTGTTTTATTAGGTTGGGTGCAAGTTCTTCAAGAGCTCCTTCCAAACATTGCCTTACGAGAGTGAGGCTTGGAGCTTGACTATGAGGGCCTAATCGTATGCCTTCACATAGACTTTACTTTCATTATATAGTCTCAAATAATATTTTCTATCTTTTTGAGTTGAATTTATTTAATGGTTTTTTTAGATTAAAATAGTCATGACACTTTATTGGAGTTCCGATCCCACATCGGAAAATAAAGATGAATACCATTATCATATATGGAAGGGTGAAACTCTACCTATCAATTTAAGTTTTTGAGTTGGAATAGTGGATTTCGACTTTATATGCAAGTGATCGACTAATTTTACCCGACACTTTACCCGTTGTTCTCAACCCACTAAAATTTTAACATGATATTGGAGCAAGTCTGGTCTGGGTTTTATTCTTCCGGGTTGTAAGACGTGGATTTTGCAAAAAACTTATCTACCCGTCTCTGGTTTGAGTTGAGTTGGCTAAAAAGAGATTGAGATGTCACTGGTCATTGTGTGGGCTAGCTATAAGAGATTGAGATGCTAGACCTGCTTGTCCACAGGCTAACTAGGTCAGGCTAGTTAGCACTTGAGAGGGAGTGTTAGAGTTCTGATTCCCACATAGGAAAATAAAAATGAATACCACTAGCATATATAGAAGGGTGGAACTCTACCTATCAGCTTACACTTTTGGGTTAGAATACTGGATCCCGAGTTTATGTGCAAGTGACTAATTTTACCCGACACTCTATCCGTTGTTCTTGACCCACCAGAATTTGAACTCACTTTTTGTTTTAAATTAGTAGATGTCTAGATAAAGGTTTTAGAATATAAATTTTTAAATTATACATACTATTTAAATAAATTAAACTGAAAATTGTATTACTCAAATATCATAAACTAAAATGTAAAATTTACTTAATTAGGAATGAAGTACAATTTTATATTTGAGTTCTATGCTAAACTATAGACTTGACAAAAATTGACTCGCCTTAATTTTTACCTATGACTTGACCCGAAAATACGAAGCGTTGAACAAAGGTTTTGTTGACCGAACCCCAAAAAGTCGAAGCCGAAATGACCCCTAAAATTGGGTCAAACGCGACCGATCCTAACCTGACTGACCAACTAATATAAATGTTTTTAAAAATCATGTACTTTAATATGAAAAATAATACGATAATAATAAGATTATGCTTTTATTTATTCTTGTTACTCATTTTTAGTGTATAAACTTATATTTTAAAAAAAGTTTTAATGGCCACTTATCTCACATCTTTTAAAAATTCATACAAACAATTTATATTTACATTCAATTTTTAATATATATTTTGATATTATATTACATCCATTGTCTCAAATTAATCTTTCTAATTACCGTTTCGGCATCTCGGTAACTCATGTTTAATTTGTATGTATATTTTTATTGATCATTTGATAACACAAAATATTTCGTCACTTCTTATTTTGTAGAATTTTTAATGTAGTTTTGAACGGCGTAATTTTGTACTTTTGATTTCTATACCAATGTAAAAAAAATTATTTTTCAGATGGAATTTCACACGTTCATCCATATTGGAAGATTGAACAAATTAGAATTGAGGGAGTATTTTTTAGTGTAAATGCAAATGCTAGTATATGAATTTATATATTCTAAAAAAGGTTTGATTGATCCGAACCATATGACACCATGTCATAAACATGCAGTTCTTGACCCAAATCTAAACTTACCCAAACCTGATGCAACCGAAATTGGAATAGTAACCTAGTAATCTTTTGGACGTTGCAAAAACCCTCCACACTTAAAAAAATTAAAGAGGAAATAAATACGTGATATGTAAATTTTTTCTAAAAAAATCTGTATACTTCATGAAAAAGTAAAACAATAAAAATTTTATGGGATAGTAAGAGTATATTAAGTACTCTGTAGTAAAGTACTTTTTAGTTTTTATTTACAATATTCCCTTTATTTCATCAAATTAAAGACAAACATGGATAATCTGGATGCTTTTTAACTCTTTTTAATTTGTGTCAAATCAAAATGGGAAAAGAAATTTTAGACGAAGGAATATATTGTTATATCCAACAAATGAAGAATATACCATAACTTACCACCTTGAGACCAAAGCCAATATAATGATTTATTTTATTTGGAAAAGGGAGGAAAATGATCCTTTTAAAAACAAGATGAAACCCTCCCCGAGGACACTTTTACGTTCGGCCCAAATCAGAGTATAATTTTCAGACGAATACGATTCCAAGACTTTTAGATTTAGAGGATGTTTGACACTCTCTTAAAGAGCAATTTTTTTGCCGTGGGGTTCTAGTGCCACTGGAGTACGGTGCCACTCTGGTGCCACTGGCATTTTGAGACACCTCCGGTGCTCCATTCGCAAAATTGACGGTTCCTACCTCCCTAACCCACCCCTTAAACCCCCAACCTGCCCCGCCCCTGCACCCCCACCCCAACCTCGTCGTAAGCCCCCCACAAAATGTGTGGCTATTATGAACGCATAATAGCCACACATTTTGTGGGGGCTTACGGCGGGGTTGGGGTGGGGTGCAGGGGCGAGGGTAGGGTAGGTTAGGGGGTAGGAATCGTCAATTTTGCGAACGAAGCACCGGAGGTGCCCCAAAATGTCAGTGGCACCGTACTCCAGTGGCACTAGAACCCCACCGGTTTTTTAGTTTCTACTTTGCTCAAAAGTAAGTTTATACTCCCTCCGTCCCCAATTTGATTACATTTCTCTCTTCTCGATAACTTTTGTTTATTTACGCAATTTCATTAAGTATTTGAAAAAATAAAATATTCTTGTCACCTCTAATTTTGTATAACTTTTGACGGAGTTTTTTACTCCGTAATATATGTAATTTTTATTTCTTATCGATATACCAATTTGTAAATAAAATTATTTCAAAAAGTGAGATATTTCTTTTTGTAAACTCCAGTTTATAATCAAATTGGGGACGGGGGAGTATGTTTGACAAATGTAATTCTATTTATGGCCTATGATTTTAAAGTGCAAAATAGGCTCTAAAAGTACTTTTTAGCAAAGTTGGATCATACTTCCTCCGTCCAACAATAAAGTTCTCGTTCACTATTCACGGGGTAAAACTTTATTCACTTTGTTGGCCTATTTTCGTATCTTGTTTGATAAAATAATATAGTCATGTCACCACTAGTTTTGTAGATCTTTTAATGTAGTTTTTAAATATGTAATTTTAATTTTTTAATTCCATACCATTTTTCATATAAAATAATTTGAAAATAATTTCAGTCAAACATCATAAAGCGCAATGAGAACTTTATTCATGGAGGGAGTATGTTTTTAGGTCCTATATTCGACATATGCGTTTTTAAGAATTTATCGCAGTACCAAACACCCTCTAACATCCTACCTTAGAAACATTAAAACACACAACAATGGTTCTTTTAAAAACAAAAGAAATTAAAAATGTGTTTGGTTGAAGAAAAATTTTTCTGGAAAATTTGAATTCTAAATTTTAAAATTTAGTAACATAAATAGTGAGAAAAATATTTAATGAAATACTCCGTATAATTTTTTTCCTCACAAAAAAGAAAAAAATTTATGTTTGCTTTAAAATAAATTCCAACTCACTCTTCGTCCCCGCCCCCACCACTACCCTTACCCCCTCGCCCCCTCCTACCCTACCACTCAACTCCAATCCCACCACGTCACCCCCGCTCCTTGCCCCCTCGTCAACCTGAGTGAGTCATCCGCCCTTTCCCTCGATGCCTCCTCCCCCGGCCTAACCCATTCACACGCCCACGTTCCGACCTTCCACCCTAGCAGCCCTCCCCCACGGCCCCACCCACTTAGCACATTACCACTTACCACTACACGTCCCTCGCCCCACTAAATAGTGTGTGTACGTGTGTGTGTTTATAACCCCAGTTAGACTAATGCTACCATTATTAGTTATTATTATTATACTCCCTCCGTTCCACAAAACCCTTCCGGTTTTGACTTTGGGGAAAAATAAGGAAAGTGAAATTTTGGTTGACTTTCCAATTTTGTCCCTGATGTGATGGGAAAAAATAAGATGTGATAGTTTGGTTATTAGTGAAAAAGTATGATGTGATAGGTAGGGTATGAAAAAGTAGGGGTAAAAGTGGTTTTTTAATGGAAAGTTGAAGTGTTTTGTGGAAAGCAAAAAAATCGAAAGAGGAATTGTTATTGTTTATGGAACGGAGGGAGTAATTGTTATTGTTGTTGTTTATCTCTTTTTTTTTCAAAAAAACAACAATGCATAGTGACGCTTCGCCGTGCAATTTTCTTTCGATCAAACAATGAAAAAGATTATTGAAAGTCCAAACCAAACACACCCTAAAGAGCAATTGATTTGCAGCCTTACACCATAAACAGTGCCAAAGTGATATTCTTAAATCAGAGGACACAATCCAGGTCATCATGCAATAATAACAAGACTTCTGCCAGTTCTTGTTTCGCTTGCGATCGAATTTTGCAGGACCCCTTTAGCTTCTGTTCTCTCTCCTGCAAGGTATGGTATGCCTTTAACCATTCTCTTTAAGACTTTAACCATTCTCTTCTTCCAAAAAGTGATTTAAATCATGGCGACTCAATCGGTAAAAGAGACTGGGATCAGTACTCACTACACATAAGGAGCCCCTTCATTTTTTTGAGAACTTGCTTCCATAAAGTCGTTGGTGAGACTCGATCCTTGATCTCTTGTTATAAACTTTCTCCTCTAAGACCAATTGAGTTGCCATGCGGGCAACTTTTAACCATTTTTTTAATTTATTTCTTTCTGGATTACCCACCGTCCATAGATAAAATCTTGATTTCAAAGATCTCCAAAAAAAAAATTCAAATTTTAAAAATGCATATCCTTTTATCTATATTTCAAAACACATACTCCCTCCGTCCCAAAAAGTCTTTCCTGTTTCATTTTTTGCGCATCCCATAAAACACTTATATCCCGCCTTGAATGCCAAAAAAAATTTCAAAATAACTTCTACCCACAATAAACAAGAAATGTTGTAAATTTTGGGCATTTTAAATGTCGGTAGAAGTGTTTTATGGGATGCGCAAAAATGAAACAGGAAAGACTTTTTGGGACGGAGGGAGTATCATATCTCGAAACACTCACAAAACAGATTAGTATTTTCCAAATTAATATTAATTATTTAAAAAATTTCTATAACGAAAACACAAACTAAAAAGGGTAAAATACTTACAAGGTCTCCATATTTTTTTGAAAGTGATTCCCAACTGCCTGAATTATTTTAAGTGCTTACTAATGCACTATATATTTTAGAATTGCTCCGTAGGTCCTTAAATTATTTTTAATTGGTTCCTACCAAGTCCACATATTTTCTAACCGGTTTGTTAGTAGTTCCTTTGATGACATTTTTCAGATCAAATGTGCGGAAACTGTTTGAGCAACACGCACACAATGTTCAAAAATTTATGATATAACGTCAATTCTTACCATAATTTCAGGAGACTTGGTCGGGAAAAATCCATCGAAGGGGCCACTAACACACCAGTTTAAAAGAATAGGGATGTGATAAACACTAAAACTAATTTATGAACTTTGTAAGCACCTAAAATAATTCAAGAATTTGTGAAGCACTTTCAAAAAAAGATATAGGGATCTTGTAAGCATTTACCCAACTGAAAAAATTATTATTTTTAATTTTTAAACAAGACCTGAATACCTTATATATATTTATTTTCTTGAAGTTACACTATGAAATCCTTGTTACCTAGGTTGATTTTATGGCGTACCACGAACAAGATTTATCCGACATAATCCTCTTCAAGTTTGATGATGAGTCTGGTGTACCCTTCTCCCCATTCAAGTCTGATTCGCTCGAAATGACTCTCCACTCCTCTCTCGAAGACGGGTTGGCGTGCAAAAATACTGCTTGTTCCAGCAGTAGTGCCATGGGCAATTCTGGTATTTCACGAAATGTCGCGACCAAAAGTGGGCCTCGTTTCCTGCCTAGGTTTATGGTCTCCGTGAGCAATAGGAGAAAGGGTGCCCCTTCAAGGTCTCCCTTTTCGTGAAGATAATAATGTTGTCCTTTTGGTTCGGGTTTAGTTGTCCATTTTCTTAATTTCGCGTGTATAAAACTAATATTCCGTGGTTCGCTTCCTATATTTAATAAAGAGATCAATGTCTATTACCAAAAAAATATACTACCTCCGTCCCGGAAAACATGGGAGTTTTGATTTTGAAGAGTGATTTTCAAATGAGTGTATTTTGGTATTGAATTTCCAAAAATGTTCTTTGATGTGATTGATAAAAGTGTGATTGATTTGATGGATAGATTATTAGTAAAAACGTATGATGTGATAGGTAGGGTATGAAAAAGTAAGAGGTAAGAGTGACTTTTTAATAGAAATGAGAAGTGTTTTTTGGAACGAATGAAAAAAAAGAAAGATTTTCAGGAACGGATGGATGGAGTATTAAATTACATCCCACAATTACATGGGTGGGAGATGATTGGTGTCGGGTTTGGTAGGTGGATCTAACATGAGCTAGTGGGGGCGCAAGTAGGATCACTCACTTTGACTGGCTCTAGAGCGGTACGGTAGAACCCGACATATAAAAATATCAATATCTATTACTCCCTCCGTCCTAAAACCACCTTCCCGGTTTGACCAGAGGTGGTTTTTAAGAGAGTTTAAAAATTGAGTTGACCTTCCTAAAATGCCCCTCAAAACCTTCTTTCTCCCTCTTGACACTGGACCGAAACATGCCTAATTTGAACCAAAAACATTGGCGATGTTGTTTTCTTTCAATACACACAGAGGCATGAATCTAAAACAAAATCAAAAATCAAAATTCCAGCTAAACAAATTTAAATAAAATAAATTATGAAATTGGTCCAAATATGACCGGTCACTTTTATCAATCACCAAATGAAGTTAACTCTTCGATTGGGACGGGTCAAAAGTTGACCGGTCACTTCCACTAAAAAAGTGACCGGTCACATTTTGGGCGATAGCCAAAATAACACCTAATGTTGTGAAGAATTCAAGAAGACCAAAGAGACGGGTTGAGCTCAAAGAAATGACCGGTCAACCTTTGAGAAAAAGGTGACCGGTCATATCATCTTACTTGACAAACATTGGTCTAGTATCTCAGGCATGGTGAACCACGTCAAAGATCGAGGGACCACCCCGCCGTTCGTCCATCACGAGACAAACAGTGAAAGGGATGTTTGTCACGTTGCAGGGCTGATTGGATTGAGAATATCCATCTATAGTCTTTGATTGAACAGTACATGTCTTAGCTTATAGTTGCTAAATTCTATGATTGTACAGTGCTTCCATTATCTACAGTGACCTTCCCACGAGCTTCCTATTTTGTCCATGGATGAACAGGGGAGGGTCACAAATCCTCCTCTATAAATATGATGATATTTGATAGATAGGGGATCCAATTTTTCTCTCACTAAAGTTCACTCTTGAGATAGAGTAAGAAATATAATTCGGACTGAGGAGATTTACCCGGTCTAGGTCATACTTTGTGTTCTTGTTGTGTGTTTTATATTACGGGTCGAGTGTGTCCAGGTCAAACCCGGTTAACCCACCCCGCTATATTTACACCATCATTTTTGGTGCCACCCGTGGGACCGATTTTTAATGTTTTTTCGACCAGGTCAAATCTTTACCCCCACTAAATATCCACAATCATGTCTTCGAGCAACTACAACGCTGTGTCAAGTCAGGCTGCGAGTGAAAGCACTCCTGCCATCCCAATGATGATGTCGAGCATGGGGACGACCTTTGCTCCGATCACCACTGTAGGATCGATTGGCATGATCCCAATCATGTCAACCCCTACTCCTACGCCGACGACAACAATGTTCCCAGGCTCGATAACAACGCTTGGTGGAGCATTCACACCATACCCGTCAGCTTGGGCTCAGTTTGCTGCTGACCCGGCAAATGCTCAGGCTCTACAGGGCTATCAACAGGTGATGGCCATGATGCAACAGGCAGGGGGCTTCATGCCATTTGCCTATCCTGGCATGACGCCACCAATCATGCCACCTCCGGTGTCGACCCCGTCGACATTTGTCCCTAAGATGGTCCCTATACATCTGCTGAATTTGACGGGGACTATGAATGAAGCAGCGCCCTCAAATGTCCATGAAATCGATGAGGCGTAGCAGGAGGCGGCCCGTAGGAGGAAGGGTAAGGCTATAGCCAAACCCAGCAAGACTCGAGATTCGGCGTTCAAACGCCTAGGGGACAAAAAGGAGGATGGACCCCGCAAGTCTGCCAAGCTACGTCTTGGTCCTGAGATGGGCCGGACTAGCGTAATGGAAAGACTTGGCGGGAGTCGTCACGCCCAATCTCGTCGTTCTAGGGAATCTGAGACGATTCGCCGAGACGAGGAGGAAGCAGAAAGCCAACCGAGGGCGTCGGCATATACCAGGCTCTCATACGATGAGGATGACCTGGACAAGATAGGGAGCGTAGCAAGGAAACTACGTGCCCTGGAGGAAAAGGTGGAAGAGAAGGCGGGAGCGAAAAAGCACACTTTGGCTAAATCTCCCTTTTCGGCCAGGGTACATGCGCAGAGGTTGAGGCGGAAGATTAAGCTGGACGTGGAGAAATTCACAGGAAAGGAGGATCCAAACGTCCACCTTGACACCTTCCACAATGCAGCACAGATGGCCGGGTGCACTGATGCTGAGGAATGTCTACTCTTCTTCTCATCCTTGAGAGGGAGGCCAGTGGAATGGTTTAACGGCCTTCCCCATGGCAGGATCGGGTCCTTTGAGAAACTTGCCGAAGTTTTCCACAAAACGTACCAGGACAATTGCATCAAGAGGAAGAAGTTCACCTACCTTAACACGGTAGGGAAGAAGGAAAAGGAGTCCTTGACTCAATTTTTGACCCGTTGGAGGGATGAGGTCGACAAGGTAGAAGAGATGGACGACAAGACGGCCATGTCTTTGCTGATGAATGCCTTCCGGTCGGGTGACCTGTACACCGAATTCTGTAGGAGGCCACCCTCCTCTTACCAAGAAGCCTACAATACGGCATGGGAGTATGCCGACGCGGCGGTCTTGAATAAGAGCAAGCGGGAATTAGAGGAAGGATATATGAAGGTGAAATCCGACAAGCCGAAGAAGGACGACCAGATGGGAGGGTCCAAACTAAAGGCTACGTATGACGAGTCTGTCCATCAAATAAGGGATGATAAGAAGGGAGAACAACCCAAGAGGCCTTGGACGGAGAAGTGGTGTACCTACCACCAATCTGACTCCCACAATACGGTGGATTACCGAAATGTCAAGGCTGTGCTCAAGGAGATGGCCTTGAAAGGAGAGCTTGGGGAAGGTTACGCGACGGGTAATAAGAAGGACCCGAAAGCGAACATCTGGACCCGTCATCAGGGAAAAGACTAGGGAAGGAGAAAATCCGGGAAGGATAACAACAATCCGGATAAAGAATTCATTGAGATGATTGTCGGTGGCCCGGAAGGCGGGGACACTGCCTCCCAGCGGAAGAACTGGGCCAACAGCTTGTTAGAATAAAGGCCCAACGCTAGAGGGGGGGTGAATAGCGTTTAAAACAAAATCGCAGGAATTTAAAACGAGAGCGTTGAAGTAAAGAGCGTAAGGAAGGAACACACCGGATTTTATCCTGGTTCACCACAACGTGTGGCTAATCCAGCCCCCCGAGAGACTCTCTCGAGCTACACTAACTCCGTTAAGCTTAAGGGTGCTTAACAAACCGATACAACTTGAGAACCCGAGTCACACGAGCCTCAACACCTTTGCTCGGAGATACCGCACTCCAAGACTTCTTACGAAGGAACAAGGAACTTCCTTCGAGTTTGCAACAAGGGAACAACCTCCCTTAGGTGTATGAAAACACTTAAACACTCAAGAATAAAACTCTCACAAAGAGTAGATATGAGTGAACTAGTAAACGCTCAAGAACACGACAATTTCTTCAAGAATTGGCTCTCAAATAGCTAAGAAAAAATAGGATTGCTTATGCAATGAAAGAGTATTGAAATGTTGAAGAATTGTGTTTCAAATGAGAGGATTTGGGTGCCATTTTATAGCCCAAAATGGGATAAACCCGTTGCTAGAATTTCCAACATGATGAAGACAAATTTTTCAGGGACACAGGCTGATAGTCGATTGTCAAACCATGATAATCGATTATCCAAAGATTCCCTGTCCAAAAATTTAAAATTCTATCCGTTGGAGGACAACGGTAACCCAGATAATCGATTGTCAACAAGTAATAATCGATTATTGGTCCTCTCAGAAGATTCTGGGTTTTGGCTGCAAAGACTAATAATCGATTATTGCAAAGCTGATAATCGATTATTGCGTGCTTCAGAACTTTGGAAGTTCAAAGCTGCAGGGGCTGATAGTCGATTGTCACTAAGGTGATAATCGATTATCACCCAGCTAAAGTCTAGCCAGCTGAAACCCGTTTTGAAAAACCGAGGTCCAAAAATGAAGTGTTTCCAAAAGTAAAAACCGGGTTTGGAAAATACTGTATATGGTATTAAATAGTGAAAACAAGACTTGTTTGGTAAAAACTAAGTCTCCAAGGTCGTATAATACGTACGTACGGTTTAGACCGTTTTTCACGTATTAGACCGATTGACCAAGGTACAAAAGTGGTTTTTATAAAATAATTATTTGGAAACATTTTAAAAATGCTCAGAGGTAAAAACAGGGTTTTTAAAAAATTGAAAACCACGGAGTTGGTTCGGGCGCCAAAAACCGAACGCCGAAAGCCGAACGTCGAAAGCCGAACGCCGACTTAGGTGGTTTTGGTTCTGAGCAAGGACCAGGGATTTTAACAATAAAAGGAGTCATCAAAAAATGTTTGTTTTGATGCACAAGAAATATTTTGTGATTGTAAAAATTGTTTTGACTTTTTGAGAACTGAGACTTGAATATATTGTCGGTTTTGATCACAAAAGACCGACTCGACTAAGTCTTCAATTCTTGATCTTGTCCTTGAGTCTTTTAGGTCTTGTTCCAAGCCATTCTTCACGCCTTGAGTTATTCAACGAAACTCTTTATATCCACGGCGGTTTTGCAATTATCAAAACCTGTCAGAAATGAACACGACTTTAGTTTATCGTACAAAGTGTGTTCCAACAATTTCCCCCTTTTTGATAATGGCAAACAAGACGGGGATATGCATAGGATTTTGATCTTTTTGAAAAAAAATTCCCCCTTAATATATGCATAACTCTTATCTTCCCCCTTTTGACATTAACAAAAAGATTGTTAACAACAAAGATCATAAAGATTTTTATTAATTAATTAAGGGAAATAGCGGAGTACATAACGAAAGCATATTAAAAGATGATAAAATAAGGAAGAGAAGAAAGTAGAGCTAGAGCTCTAGAAATCCAGGGAAAGATCATTGAGAAGTTGTTCTTCGTCAATGTCTTCTTCTTCTTCTTCATCTTCGTCACCGTCGCCATCATCATCATCATCATCTTCTTCTTCTTCTTCCTCTTCTTCTTATTCTTCTTCTTCTTCTTCCACCTCGTCATTTCTACCAATGCTTTGAGTCCCACTTTGTTCACCTCCGAAATTCGGTGGAGGAACGTAAGGGACCGTTTGAGCGTACGGGTAATTGACAAAATCAAAATACCCGTGAAGTTCACGACTCAAGGTATTGACGTTGTGTGCCGTTTTGGAGACGTTGGTGTCAATCTGAGAGAGAGTGGCGGTTAAGGCTGCCATTTGCTCGGCGAGAGAAGGATTGGTCGAAGTGGTGGCGGCTGAGGCAGTGGCTCTCGGTTGGCGGCGTGGACGAGGCTGTCGAAACGGAGTCTCGTCGGTGCCCGAGTGGAAAGAGGATTCATCAATCTCCCAATGCTTTGTCCCCTTTATCTTTGGCCCAACATCGGTTTTGATGTTAT